GAAGGAGATAAATGTGAAACACATAACTGATAAAGAATTCATACCTGTTGTCTGTTAATACCTCTAAAAGGATTAAAAACAAACATACAACACAGTACAAAAATGGTGGAAAGACACTTCAGAAATGATGGTCAATATGCATATGAAAAGGTATTCAACCTCATTAATAATTAGAAAAATATAAATTAAAAATATGATAATAAACACATCTGCCAGAATGGTTGAAAGTAAAGACTACTACCACATGTGGACAAGGATGTGGGGCAATATAACTCTCCTATGCTGATGAGTCAGGAGGGGATTTGTATAAACTGGCGCAGCCACTTTGGAAAATAGCTTGGCATAGGTACTAAAGTTGGAAGCATACTGATTTCACTGCTGGAAGAATCATGTCCATACAACCAGGGGACACACAGAAATTTTCACTACAGCATGACTACTAATAGCCCTCAAACAGAACCAATCCAAATGTCCATCAATAGTATTCTGGATAAACAAACTGTGGTATAATAAAATACAATAAAAACTACACAGAAATGAAAGTGAATTGACTACAGCTAAATGAAAGAACATCGATGAATGTCACAAATACAATGCTGAGCAAAAAGAGCCAGACCCAATGGAACACATCTCTACAATTTCCTTGGCATGAAGTTCAAAAGGAGGCAAAACTCAAATATAGAATTAAGGATCATACTAAGATTAAAAAACAAAGAAAACAAGAAATAATTTTCAAAGAAGTCAGGATAGTGGTTACCTTTCTTTGAGTATGTTGAGTAATAACTAGGAATGTGTAAGCAGAGGTTCCCAAACTCCTAACAATATTATATTTTATGCCTGGATTTATTTACATGGGCATTTGATAATTATTTATTAAACTGTACATATATGAATACACCTTCTTCTCAGCAGTATATGGATCCTTCTCTAAAATAAACCATATATTATGCCACAAAGCAACTCTCAGCAAATAAAAAAAATAGAGATACTATCCTGTATTCTATCATATTATAATGGGATGAAACTAGAAATCAATGATAAAATAAAAAATAGAAGATATTCCAACACCTGGAGACTAAATAATATGATATTGAATGAGCAATGGATAGCCTATGGAAGACATCAGGGAGGAGATAAAAACATTTCTAGAGGTAAATGAGAACACCAATACAACATAACAAAATCTCTGGGATGCTATGAAGGCAGTGCTAAGAGGAAAGTTCATTGCATTGAACTCATTCATCAAAAGAATAAAAAGTCAACAAATAAATGACCTAACATTATATCTCAATGTCCTAGAAAAAGAAGAACAAATCAACACCAAAAGTAGTAGAAGACAGGAAATAATTAAAATCAGAGCTGAAATCAATGAAACTGATACAAAAGAAACAATTAAAAATGACAACATGGAAAGTTAATTCTTTGAAAAATAAATAAAATGATAAACCTTTAGCTACACTAATGAAGAGAAGGAGAGAGAAAATTCAAATTACTAAAATTTGTGATGAAAAAGGAAATATCATGATGGACATTTTTGAAATATAGAAGATAATTCAAAATTATTTTGAAAAAGTTATACTCAAAAAAGAAAATTTTGACAACACTGACAAATTTCTAGAAATATATGATCTACCCAACCTGAATCAGGAGGACATTCACAATTTAAACAGATCAATTTCAAGCAAGGAAATAGAAGAGACCATCAAATGCCTACCAATAAAAGCCCAGGACCAGATGGATTCTAAGCCAAGTTCTATAAGACTTTCCAAGAGGAACTAATATCAATACTCCTCAAATTATTCCCTGAGGTAGAAAAGGAAGAAACCTTTCTAAACTCTTCTATGAGGCTAGCAGCACGCTGATACCAAAACCAGACAAAGACACATCAAGAAAAGAAAACTTCAGACCTATATTCCTGATGAATGTAGACGCAAAAATTCTCAATGAAATCCTGGCCAATTGCATACAAAAACATATTAAAAAGATAGTGCACCATGATCAAGTGGGGTTCATCCCAGGAATGCAAAGTTGGTTCAACATATGGAAATCAATAAATGTAATACATCACATCAATAGTGTTTAAAGACAAAAATCACACAATTATCTCAATAGATGCTGAAAAAGCATTTGATAAAATACAGCACCTCTTCATGTTCAAAACACTAGAAAAACCAGGAATAGTAGGATCATACCTCAACACTGTAAAAGCTATCTATGCTAAGCCCAAGGCCAACGTCATTCTAAACAGAAAAAAAAAAAATGGAAGCATTGTCTCCAAAAACTGGAACAAGAAAGGGATGCCCTCTTTCACCACTTCTATTCAACATAGTCCTTGAAACTCTAGCCAAAGCAATCAGACAGACAAAATAAGGAATATGCATAAGAAAAGAACTCAAACTATCACTATTTGCTGATGACATGATTCATTCAGCAAAATAGCAGGATATAAAATCAATACCCATAAATCAAATGCATTCCTATATGTAAGTGATGAACCCACTGAAAGAGAAATTAGGAAAACTATCTGATTTAAAATAGCCTCCAAAAATATAAAATACTTGGGAATCAATCTAACAAACGAGGTGAAAGACATCTACAATGAAAACTACAGAACACTAAAGAAGGAAATTGAAGAATACCTTAGAAGATGGAAAGATCTCCCATGCTGTTGGATAGGCAGAGTTAATATTGTCAAAATGGCCCTATTACTAAAACTGTTATACAGATTTAATGCAATTCCTATTAAAATCCCAATGACATTCTTCATAGAACTAGAAAAAGCAGTCAGGAAATTCATTTGGAAAAATAAGAGACCCAGAATAGCCAAAGCAATCCATATCAAAAAAAGTGAAGAAGGAGGCATCACAATACCAGATATTAAACTATAGTAACCAAAACAGCATGGTATTGGCATCAAAATAGACTGGTAGACTAATGTTTGTACTAGACAAAAGTGCCAATTAGAGAAAGGATAGTCTCTTGAACAAATGGTGCTGGGAAAACTGGAAATCCATATGTAGCAAAATGAAATTAAACCTCTATCTCTTACCATGCACAAAACTCAACACAAAGTGGACCAAAGACCTAGGAATTAGATCAGAGACCCTGCACTTAACAGAAGGCCCAAATCTTCATCACGTTGGATTAGGCCTAGACTTCCTTAACAAGACTCCAAAAACACAAGAAATAAAATCAAGAATCAATAAATGGGATACATTCAAATTAAAAAGCTTCTTCTCAGCAAAAGAAACAATCAGTGAGGTGAATAGAGAGCTTACAGTATGGGAGCAAATTTTTACCTTACATACATCAGATACAGCACTAATCTCCAGAATACATAAAGAACTCAAAAGATTTAATACCAAAGAAAACAAACAAGCCAATCAATAAATGGGCTAAGGAACTGCATAGACACTCTCAGAATAAGATATACAAGCAAGCAATCAACAAATATATGAAAAAGTGTCCAACATCTTTAGTAATTAGAGAAATACAAATCAAAACTATTCTAAGATTTCATTTCACCCCAGTTAGAATGGCAGTTATCAAGAATACAAGCAATAATAAGTGTTGGAGAGGATGTGGGGAAAAAGGTACATTCATACATTGCTGGTGGGACTGCAAATTGGTGCAACCACTTTGGAAAGCAGTATGGAGATTACTCAGAAAACTTGGAATGGAACCACCATTTGACCCAACTATCCCATTACTTGGTTTATACCCAAAGGACTTAAAATCAGCATACTATAGTGACAGAGCTATACCAATGTTTATTGCAGCTGAATTCACAATAGCTAAACCGTTGAACCAACCTAGATGTCCTTCATTAGATGAATGGATAAAGAAACTGGTATATACAATGGAATATTACTCAGCATTAAAAGAAAATAAAATTATGGCATTTGCAGGTAAATGGATGGAGTTAGAGAATAGTAAGCTAATCGATATAAGTCAACCACAAAAAATTAAAGGCCGAATGTTTTCTCTAATTAGTGGATACTGATCTATGATGGGTGGATGCTGATCTATGATGAAGGGAGGGACATGGGGAGAATGGAGGAGATTTGGACTAGGCAAAGGGAAGGAGGGGAGGAGTAAAGGGGTAGGTAAAATGGTAGAACTAGATGGACATCATTACCCTGGGTACATGTATGATTGCACGAATGGTGTGTCTCTATACTGTGTCCAACCAGAGAATTGAAAGGTTGCGCTCCATTTGTGTTTGATGAATTGAAACACATTCGGCTGTCATGTACAATTAAGTAAAACAAATAAAAATAAAAATAAATTAAAAATAAAAAGAACAGAGGAAAAAATAAACTGTACATATATGTATTTTCTATATGTATGCTATATGTCACCATAAAATTTGATTTTAAAAATACAAAGAGGACAAACCCAGAAGAAGCAGTCCTCATTCCCCCAAAGTTTTCTAGTTTTCTAGTAAAACTTAAAACTCTAAATCTGATTTCAAGTTAAGTTTTTTACTCCCTTGTTCTAACAAACTCTAGGGTATAGAATAAACCCCGAATGGCTCTTCTTTCACTTATCCACCAGCAGACATAGTGGTTTCTCAGTAAAGTCAGATAGGAGCCAGTACTGCTTTCCTCCTGCAGCTTCCAGAGAAGACCTCCAGTGGCTTATCCTGGTGAGCAGCAGGCACCCCGCCTTCTACTGAACTGAGTTTGTACCAACAGCACGGTCTCCAAAAAATACTCTTTAGTGCCCTCTTTAATCTTTAGCAACCCAACACATTTATATCCTCAATGTAGGTGAAATATTTCAGTAAACAACTATAATACCATGTTAAATACACCAGTGACAAATGGCAAGAATAAATGGCTAAATACATTGATGATAGCATATAGTATTAATGAAACACTGAACTAGGAGAAAAAGTCCTTACACAGGGACTGGGTCATCAAAGAAAGCAAGAGATCCAAGTAAGATGGCTGCATTATATGATTTGAACTTTAAGTTAAGATTAAAACATCTCTTACCTGTATATGAGGTTTGGTTAGTTCATGTGTGTAGTAGCAAGGTTTATTTGTCATCTTTATGGGAAATCCACATATCTGGGGTAGTTTAGACTTTAAGTCTGAAAGAAAACTTTTCAATACTCCTTCCAAATCTACCCTTGGAAAGAACTGTATGGGCTGACTTCTAATGCAACTGAGAGGGTATCTGAACAATGTTAAAGAACAATGTGAGGGGTTTTGTATACAAGAGATAGCAATTGTCATGGAATTTTAAAAAGTATTTAAATAGCAATGTTGAAAAGATACTTAAATAAATCCTAGCTAGTTTTATATTGCCTGTCCCATACTATTCAAAGCCAAAAAGCACACTTCCTCAGAGACCTTCTTCATTCCTTCCATTTTTTTAAAATTTAACTTTTTGTTAATAATAGTTGCATATTTTTATGGGGGTATATGATATTTTAATATAACATTCACAATCAAGGCAACTCTTGTTCCCTAATTATACAGCTGGCAAACTAAGATATTAAAAAAATAATTTATAAGGAAAACATAACACTTGTAGATTATAATGATGAATATCTCATATCTCAAAAATCAATGAAATATTCAGAGAGCCAACACATATGGATTATAATCAAATCCTAAAAGCAGTTCTCTGAGGGAAGAAGTTACTTTTTCTCATGAGAAATATTCTAAAGACTTGGAATAATGTCTTAACATTGAGTGAAAGGGTGTAACTGGTATATGTAAACCTCAGTTTTACAGCAGATGGTTAGGAAATGTAAAATAGAGAGAGCAGGTGATGGCTATTCCATTTCTAAATTCCAGTTGGCCAGAATATAAAGTGTAAGAGACAGGAAGGGTGAACTCAGTGCTTATTAAGATTTTAGAGTTCTACCTGAGCACTTGTGCTCTTTTTATGATTGAATTTTTAAAAAATACTGTTAACTATTTTCTTACGTTAATTTGATGCATTAAATGCAAGTCATATCCTCTAAACTGCCTGTAAAATTAATCTTCCAGAAAGAAAAATCTTCGTTAATTTCTTTAATTCAACCCTTCCAATAATGTCCAACACACCACTGGAGGGTGCTCTTGGCTAAGGAGACTTACACCTTTTTTTTTTTTAAACTAGGAAACAAATATGAAAATATTTTGTCTGTCTACTCTGTTTTCTTTTTTATCTAAATTGTTGAAATAGTATTTAATGAAAAAATTAGCCTTATTAAGCTCATCCTCAAGTAAATAGGGAGAAATTCTAGGCAAAACAAAAGCCACTCTTGCAGGGAAGTAGAGGGAAAAGTAGTTTCACTTAGCTAATGACAAACTGGTAGTGGGAATAAGACTAGATAAAAGGTGGGCAGACAACGTCTGATCCAAGTGGTGCCTAAAGGATACGTGAAGGTTCTTTCTCGGACCATTTTGAAGTAGATGTTGCAATATATTTTAACATCTCCACAATCTTCTGGAAGTTTATAGCCATACTATAAATTAAGCACAAAATTTAAATCATCTTGGAGAAAGCCAAACTTTGGTTAAATTACAAGAAACAAAAAAAGATAACTCTAATATAACATATATTTCTGCTCCTACCAGGTCATCCCAGTGCATTTGGAAATCTTCAAATGAGTGAAATGGACAGTCAGAGGGTGTGACATGAAGAATATTTATTATTTGTCCCATTTTCATACTGTGAAAATAAGAGTTGGTAAAATATATGAGCCAATGCCTAAATATAGCTTGATAAGTTAACTTGCAATTTAGAAAGTGCTCAAAGGTTTAGCAATTATCTCACTAACCACATATAAATTTAAAAACTAAGCTGGGCGTGATGGCGCATGCCTGTAATCCCAGTGGTTTGGGAGGCTGAGACAGGAGGATCGTGGGTTCAAAGCCAGTCTCAGCAAAAGCAAGGCTCCAAGCAACTCAGTGAGACCCTGTCTCAAAATAAAATAAAAAAATAGGTCTGGGGATGTGGTTCAGTGTTTGAGTGCCTCTGTGTTAAAAACAAAAACAAAAACAAAAACAAAAACAAAAACAAAACAAAAAAACACCCTAATCATTTTCTCAAACACACATTGTATTAAATCTTTTGTCTTAATTGACAAATAAAAATCACATATACTTATCAAGTATGACAAGATGTTTTAAAATATGTATACACTGTGGAATGGCTAAATCAAGGTAATTAACATAATAAGCTTTGCCTCACATACACACATGCTTTGTGTTGAGAATACTTAAAATCTACTCATGGTGGTTTTTAAGAATATATCATTAACTATAGTCACCATATTGTACAATAGATCTCTCCAACTTATTCCTCCTAATGAAATTCTGTACCCTTTGACTATCATCTCCCTAATCTACCTCTTCACCCCCACCTTACTCCTTGGCAACTACCATTCCATTCTCTGCTTCATGGGTTTAAAATCGCAAATTCCACGTATGAGGTCACCCAGAATTTGTTTTTCTGTCTGGCTTATTTCATTTAATATAAAGTCCTCCAGGCTCATCTAAGTTGTCACAAATAACAGGATTTCCTTGTTTGTTAAGGCTGAATTGTATTCCATTGTATATATTCACCACCTTTTCTTTATCCAGTCCACTACTGAGGCATACTTAGGTTGTATCCATCTTGGCTACTGTGAATAATGCTACAATGAATGTGGGAATGCAGTAGCTCTTTGACATACTTATTTCATTTCCTTTGTAGATCCTTTGGAAATATACTCAGTAGTATGATTGCTGGATCATATGGTAGTTCCACCTTTAACTTTTTGAGGAACCTGCACTTTGTTTTTCATAACAGTTATACTAATTCACATTTCTACCAACAATAAGCCAGGTTTCCCTTTTCTCCACTTCCTTTTCAATACTTACCTTTTGTCTTTTCAATAACAGCCATTCTAATCAGTGTGAGGTGATATCACATTGGGTTTCAATTTGCATTTCCTTAATGTGGAACATTTTTAAAAATATATGTATTGGCCATTTGTAGGTCTTCTTTTGAGAAATGTCTAATCAAGTTGTTTGTCTGTTATTAACCCCGCTATGGTTTGAATGCTTGTCCCCTCCTAAACTCATGTTGAAATTTAATTGCCATTGTAACATTTTAAGAGGTGTGAACTCTGAGAGGTGATTAGGCCAGAGGCCTGCTCTCATGAGTGTATTACAGGCCATTTTCTCAGGAGTAGATTTAGTATAAAAGAACAAGTTTGGCGCTACTTTATGGCGTATCTCTCTCTTGCCTGTGGCCTTTCCACCATGGAAATGATGCAACAGATGTATTAAGAATTACAATGCAAAAAAATTATGAATGTAATGCACTCCTCTATTGTGATGTATGTAAGAAATAATAAATAAATTTAAAAAAAACTCCTCACCAGATAATGAATATGTTGGCACTTTGTGGACTTCCCAGCCTCCAGCCCAGTGAGAAATATTTGTATTATTTATAAATTAACCAGTTTTAGTTATTCTGTTACAGCAGCACAAAATGGACTAAGACAAATCCCCTATAATTGCATGGTTTGAAAACATTTTCTGCCATTTCATAGGTTATCTCTTCACTCTATTGACTGCTTCTTTGCTGTGCAGAAGTTCTTTAATTTGTCCATTCTTACTTTTGTTGCCTGAACTTTTGTTTAGATCCAAGAAATCAATCCCCAGATTTTTCCAGTATGTTTTCTTCTAGTAGTTTTACAAAATCCTTCTTGAGTTGATTTTTTATAGGGTATGAAATAGCATTCTAATTTTATTATTTTCCATGTGGATGTATAGTTTCCCCAACACCATTTATGGAAAATACTCCTTTCCCTATCATACATTCATGGCACCTTTGTTAAAAATCAATTGATCATAAAAATGTGAATTTATTTCTGGTCCCTCTATTCTGTTGGTCTGTTTTTATGCCAGTACCAGACTATTTTAGTTATAGTTTTACAGTATAGCTTGAAATCAGGGATGTAATACCTCCAGATTTGTTCTTTTTATTTAAGGTCTCTTTGGCTATTTGGGGTCTTTGGTGGTTCTATAGGAGTTTTAAGATTTCTATTTTTCCATTTCTTTGAAGAATGTCATTGATATTTTAATAGGAATTGCATTGAATCTGTAGATTGGATAGTATGGACATTGTAAAATACTGTTTTTTAAAAAATCCATGCATGAGTTATCTCTCCAATTATTTTTATCTTCTTCATTTCTTATATCAGTATTTTATAGTTTTTCAATGTATAGGTCTTTCACCTCTTTGGTTCAATTTATTACTGAAGTAATTTGCTTTTATTTTCTTCTCTCTATTGTGCATGCGCAATAGCATGCACTATTATGTATGGGACTGTTTTCTTGATTTATTTTTCAGATATTTCATTGTTAGTGTACAGTTTTGTATGTTAATTTTGTATTCTCCAATTCCACTAAATTCATTAACTAGTTCTAAGCTTTTTGGTGGAGTCTTTAGAGCTTTCTATATATCACACTAAATTATTGGCAAACGAGACAATTTAACTACTTCCTTTCTAATTTGGATGTCTTTTATTTCTTTTTCTCTCCTAATTGCATTGGTTAGGACTTCCAGTACTATTCTGAATATAAGTGATGAGAGTGAGCATCCTTGTCTTGTTCCTGATCTTAGAGGAAAAGTTTTCAAGTTTTCATCAGTGAGAATGACATTAGCTGTGCCCTGAGATTGACATTAGCTGCAGATTTTTCATTTATAGCCTTTATTTGTATTAAATCTTAACAACTAAAATTGTTAGCAAAACTAAGTTGAATTGCTGCAAACAATGTGCCAATTATAAATACAAAATGATCATTAGTAAAATATCACCACATAAAATTATGACTGGTAATTGTTTAGGGAAAAGTCTGCTAAGAGTTTAATAAATGACAGTTACATTTTTTCCCTATCTACCTCTTCCCTGCTTCAACATTTAAATTATGCTACTAATTCATTTTCCTGAGCAGGTTAAAATTTCATCTTATACATTTACATTGATAAGTAATCATTTTTTCTGAAGATAATACACACTTAAAACTTAGTTCATATAAAATTATAATGAATCATTCTTAGATACAAATTTATAAAATTTTGATATAGTATTATGAGATTGTCATCTTATAATGAGAAATGTAGAAACTGTACTGATTTTTAAAACTAGATCTAATAAAAATGTAAATACATAATAAAATTATTTTGGTAATTTAATAAAGAAAATTTTGACTTCTGTAAGTATGACAATATTATTCCAGTACTGTTTTAAAGTTACAATTCAGTTTTTAAAATTCATCAAAATTATCTATACTTTTACACATATCAATGTTGAGGAAATTACTATATTCTGAACCCACCTTCAACATTACAAATTGAAATCTCACCTTGGTAAAATGTAGCACCAGTTGTTCAAAATGGAATGTCTCTCAATGACAGCATTCTTGTTAGAATGAAAATTCTCTATAATACTTTGAGAAATATCAAACTCCTTTAGCTTTTAATTGAAATAAGATGTTAATGCATAAGTCCTTAAATTATTTGGCAAAAAAAAAACATTAAAAATACAATCTCTATATGCACAGGTAGTTTATCCAGTAGTTTTAAAGATTTAAGCTTCACTGAATCATGCATAGCCGCTTTACAATATGCAATCCACTGTTTCTTCTCAGTACAGTGTATCAAGTATTTCACACTTTCCCTTTTATCCTTCCAACCCAAACTCCTATTTTGTAATTTTTTCAACTCATTTTTAGGATTTTTCATTATGTTAATTTACAGGGAGTTGAATTCCTTCTAAAGGAAGCTATTTACATTTTGTAAGCATAGCTGCTTAATCAGTTTTAAACATTTTTTTAAGTGCAGGATAGGTGGTTAGACCTCTACTTGGTCTTTTGGAGGACAGAAGACAGAAGCAATGCTCCATTTTTCTTTTATATCCCTTTTCTGACTCCTGGAATGCTTTATCCTGTTTCTTCAGTTCCCTAACAATACAGTATGGTATTTCATCAGCTTATGTGTATCCACTTACAGTTCTCTCACCCTGAAAGAAAGCTCCTATGAAATATTTTCCTATAGTTAGTCAGATTCAGAGGCCTCAGATAAGGTTAAAAAAAAAGAAATATTAATGGGTGAATTGACACTATATTAAGATTAGGGAGAATGATTCACTGTTTCTCACCCATTTTAATATCCATAACATCATTTGGGAAACAATGTTCTAACTTTAGTGTCTATTGCTTTTCAAGGAATTCCAGCTGAATTGGCCAACTTTTATTATATGGTCAAGTCAATAGCATCTTAACAATATACTTGAAACATTGCCCAAACTCTGATTTATCTGACTCCAACCATTGCAGGCCTGAATCTAGGCCCATCTCCTATACGTCCAGTGGGTATCTTCAGAATTTCTACAGCATTCCTTAAGACTAATGGGAATGAAGGAGCAGAAAAGAAAAATATAAATGCAAGAAGAGGAAAGTAAGAATAGCTCATAGCTCAGTGGTAGAGACTCTGGGTATGATACCCAGCACCGCACACACACACACACACAAAAAAAAAAAAAAAGGAAAAAAATAAGATAAGAGCAAGTCATTCAGAACATACATAAAGATAGATAATATCTTAATCTTATGCTTATGAGATCAGTTGCTTAAGCCATATGATAAAAAGATGGTTGCAGACAGGGTGGCCAAGAATGTTAGACTGGTGGATGACTAGACTGAGGGAAAACACAACCTAAAATGGAATTTAAAAATGTAGCTATCAGGGGGCTGGGGCTGTGGCTCAGTGGCAGAATGCTTGATTAACATGTGTGAGGCACTGGGTTCCATTCTCAGCACTGCATATAAATAAATAAAATAAAGGTCCATTGACAACTAAAAAATATTTTTAAAAAATGCGGGAAAAAGGTAGCTCTTGGGTTCAAATATTCAGTCTACGAGTTCTCATGCATATATATTTATACAGCTTGAGTTTATATTCAAGTGGGAATTTTCAACACTGCTCAGAGACTCAAGCCAATTATTGCTGGGATCTCCATGATACCAGCACTTGTCCACACTGGTCTTTCTCAACAAAGATTATTCTAAAGACTAGCAAACTACCCAAGAGAATGCTAACCTATGATATCTATTTATGAAACAAATATTTATGAAGTATCCTTATGTTACTAAAACCATACTGATAAACAGGTACTCAGTAAATGTTTTTTCCCTTAGAATGTCAATTTAAAGAATGTGAACTTAATTTTCTAGGCAACATTGAAATACTAGAGATAGTTAGTTGGGGACCTTTGATTTAAAAGAAGAACTCTGTGACATTATGAGAAGTAGATAATAAAATAGAAGGGGGAAAGACTGGTATAAAACAGTAATAGAAATTGAGAGAGAGGAGCCAATTACAGAGACCAAGGTAGGCTTAAAAGACAAATAGAAGAAGTGAGGAAGAGGATGAGCGAAAGTTGATTCTGAAGTCTCTTAAAAGGTACTTACTGACTTTTGTTGGCAGTTGTCAAAGAATAAATATAAAGAAGGAATACATCTGGGTTGGGGAAGGTGACAAAAAATACATTCAGTTTTAGACATCATAATTGAGTCTGAGTACCATTGGTATATTTATGTGAAAATGTCTATGAGAGAACAGAGAAATACATTAGATTATTTGGGAGGTAGAGGTGTATAGGTTGAAGCCATGGGAATGGATGAACCTGCTACAGGAAAGAAGGGAGGGCTGATAATGGAACCCTAGGAAATAGCAACATCGAAGTGGTAAGTAAAAGAAAAACCACAAATAAATGATATAAAATTCTGGAAAAAGGAGAAAGGAGATTTTTTAAGAACAAAATGGTAGAAAATAGTAGGTATTAGTTCCAAAGGTTTCAAGGATGAACTCTCTCAGACATCTTCTTTTTATCTGAATCCCTAAATTTAATAATATATTTTCTATAAAACTTGATACTACATTGCCAAACATTGTTACATAACTGTCATATATATATACACATATATGTGTGTAATATAACTAGATACCATATATATGTAATATATGTGTGTCATATACATTATGATCACCAATAAATGGCTATCTATAGCTTAAGTACAAATGTGTAAATAAGTAGATTATATATATAGTACCCACTTCTGTAAGGCTCTATGAAGCATACAAATTTAAACCAAGGTGGGCTGGGATATAACTCAGTTAGTAGAGTATTTTCCTTGCATGCATGAGGCCTGGGTTCAATACCTAGCACCAAAATAATAATAATAATAATCTTTAAGCCAAGGAACCTAAATCTAAATGAAGGAAGCATAGTATAGTTTTTTAAAAAAAGTTGAGGTACAAACTAAACCTTGAATTGCTTACTTACTACACTTAAGGTCTAGAGCAATTATCTAACTTCTGTCTCAATCTATTTACTTATAATATTAAAAGCTATCACTTTTTAACTTGTATTATAGGCTACATGGTGTGTGAAGCACTTAATATAATTTAACCCATGAGGTAGATATCATCCACAATGTACTAGAAAAAGTGAGATTCAGAGAGATAAATAACATGCTCAAAGTGTTCTTACTATTAAGTTAAGAACTGGGAATTTCAATTTGATTCTAACCTATGGTGTAATATTAACCAGTATTCAGAAAATGTTCTCATCTTCTGGTAAATTTATATATAGATAAAACTTTTGGAAGGAAAAGATATCTCTCTCCAGCATCTTGCACATATACATTATGATGCCCAATAAGCAGCTGTCCAATAGAACACAACTCCTTTGATGGAACAGTTAGTAAGATACAGACCCTCTCCTCTAAGACTTTTCAGTTTAATAAGATATTTGCATAGAAAACAATAACAAAGAGAGAGAAGCCTTGCGAGCTGGAAAGTTTTCACAATGAGTGATAATCCAGTTAAGTCTCCAAAAATRAGCTGGAGAAAGGGCAGTGAGGGCTTATAGCACAGTATGAGCAAAGACATGAAAAGATGAGAAAAAAATTCACAACTTGTCTACAGGAAAGGAGGGATGGTAGATGAAGCTACATATAAAGTAGTTTGGATGAATTCACTGAGGTCCTTGTATGTCACACTAAACAATTGAGTTTTCATCTTACATCTTTCATCTCCACACAGTGGAGGTTACAGTAGATTTTAAAAAGGAAAATTAAAGCACAGAAGATGAACTGGAGGGAAGAGAGACAAAAAGCATCCTTCCCTCTTCACTCATATTTCCCTCACTTGGTCTAATAACCAATATTAGGCTTTGATAAGAAAAAAATTAAATTCAATTATCCTTTAGTTATGGAGGACACAGGTGAACAAGGCAGACACTAAACTCTACAAAAGATTTCAATTTAGTAGAAACATAAACATGTATGAAACTAATTTTTATAGCAATTCGATGCTGAAAATGCCATTATAAAACAGGTAAATAAAGATGAAATTCAGAAAAAGTGATCATCAATCATTATTTAGGGGATTCATTTAATTTGATAGGCATATATTGAATGTATGTTATGGCTTGGATCTGGAATATTCCCCTAAAACTCATGTGTTGAAATCATGGTCCTCAGTGCAGCAAGGTTCAGAGGTAGGGCTTTAGGCAATGATTGGATCATGAGGGTCAGACCTCATCAGTTAATCCAGTTGATGAGTTAACCCACTGATATCTGAATATTCTACTGGGAGTGGAACCTAGTCGGAAAAAGTAGGTCATTGGGGTAGGTCATTGGGGTGTGTCCTTATCTCTATCCTTGGACTTTTTTTTTTTTTTTTTTGAGAGAGAGAGAGAGAGAGAGAGAGAGAGAAAATGATTTTTTTTCCTGGAGATAAAAACAACAGAATGCCTTTATTTTTATGTGGTGCTGAGAATCAAACCTGGGTCCGTACTAGGGGAGCGCTCTACCGCTGAGCCACAATCCCAGCCCAGTATCCTTGGACTTTTGATGTCTTTCTCAGCTTCCTGGCTGCCTTGAGTTGGGCAGTCTTTCTCTACCACAGTCTCCTGCCTTGTGTTCTGCCTCACGGCAGGCCCAAAGCAATGGAGTCAGCTGACCATGGACTGAGACCTATGAAACTATGAGCCAAAATAAATCTTTTCTCATCTAAGTTGTTCTTGTCAGGAATTCTGGTCACAGCAATGAAAAGCTAACTAACACAGTATATAGTATTGACAAGAGGAGAACAATGTGTCTGTCCCATTTCCAGTTTTCCTTCCATGTCTAGAAAGCTCTGCTAACACACATTCCTGGTATCACTCTGCTCTACCACCCATTATTCTCTAAGGTAGAGTAGGTGGTTGGTAAAATTGGGATAAATAAGCAGGTATGCTTGGCTGAACTCCTCCCTCTTTTTCTTTTTCTTTCTTTTTTTTTAAGAAGCCTGTTATATATATATATATATATATATATATATATATATATGTTTTAGTTGTAGATGGACACAATGCTTTATTTATTTTATGTGGTGTTGGGGATCGAACCCAGGGCCTCACACATATTAGGCAAGTGCTCTTCCACTGAGCTACAATCCCAGCCCCCCTCCTTTTTCTTGGGAGCTGGCTTGCTGGCACAGATTGATGTCCTCTGTTCTCTTTGTCATATACAGTACAGGGCCTGATCTCTCCAGAAAAGACTGTGGTTTTTCCACTATGCCATAAGTGGGTGGGTAAATATGCCTAATTCTAGGGTTCAGATAGTCTACTTTTTCTAATAGCTGATTTGTCTTCCCAATAATAAATGGTATGACCAGTTCATGTAAATTAGGCCAATATTTTATCAGGTTAACCCTTTCCACTCACAGAAATGTCCCATTTTGGAATGATAATTTGTACAGGTGTTCTAATCTCAAAATTTCTTCTTCCTCTTTGTCAATCTAGTTTCAAACATAGGTATAAAGTATCATTTGAAGAAAATTTAAATGTGAAAATACAGTATTAATACTCATGATGCTTATAAAGGAACTCAAAACTACAAAAAATAATATAATTCTTAAAATGTAATTAGTATATGAGTATAGCACAGCAGATAGGAGGGTTTAAATGAGATCAGATAGGGTTTGAAGCCTTGGAAAAGTTTCTCATCAGTCCAAGATAAGCATGGAATATCACACATTTCAGTTTATATACAAGCCAGCTTCCCTACTAACTTACATAATCCGTGAAGGCAGAAAAGTAGATTCTATTCATCTCTGACCTATCCATTGTCTCACCATAACAGGATATCAAAAATTAAAGAGAAAAAAATGAATGAGGGAATAGCATTTGAGGGGCCCTTAAAGGATGAGCACATATATGGCCAGTTAGAAGGGACATCCTAAGCAAAGGAAGAGTCATCTCTCTTAGGCCTGGGATTTCTTAACCTCAGCACTATTGACACTTCGGGCTGGATAATTCTTTGTTGGGTGGTATCAGGGTGGTTGTGGTTGTCCTGTGCTCAGTAGGATATTCAGCAGCATCTCTGGCTTCTTATCCACTAGATGCCAGTAGCAATATCACCTCCCCCACACATTGTGATAACCAAAACTGTTTCCAGACAAATGCCAAATATTTCATGGGAAGCAAAATCATTCATTTTCTCCTAAGTCCTCTTCTGTTGGGAATAACTGGTGTAAAGGAAAGAAAATAACACTTCTTAAGAGACAACTAATGTATAGTACTCTATACTAGGTGCTATGGAAATTAGCAAAATAGAAGATATGTCCACAAAGACAACAGAGAGTGTTATAAAACATAGATGCACAACAAAATAATGCTACCAGAATGCCAAGGGTAAGGGGTGAATATTACATTTAGTATGAGCTAAAATTGTGCTTTTATCATTTTGAGGTATAAAAGAGAGGTATGAAATGGATCTTGAGACAGGATAAGGTTATGGAGTTTTGGATGCCATCTAAAAATATTTCTGAACAAGGGATAATATGATAGAACCTGTGTTGAATACACTGAAATTATATTTTCATTGAGAAGGAATATTTAGGACAATATAAATATATCAAGCACTTAATAGTATGGATTTTTTTTGCTTCTGTGATAACAAAAACCCTCCCATCATACTTCATATTAAAAATTAAAATCTAATAGCATGTTGGTAATATTAACAAATATATTAATTACATAGGAATATAATAAATTATAGAAACAAAACATGTGATACCTCAGGTGGTGGCAGTCTGATGGTGAAAACTTCTATACTTAGACAAACTTGAGTTTCTGTTACATTGATGTCCAATACTGAAAAATACAATTAACTATGAACTGCTTGGAATTATTATTACATCCCATTAAACTATTTTAGTAACAAAAATCACTTTAACTTATTCAAGTTAGAAACTAAGTTAATAACAGATTTTTACATAGTAAAATTCAAATAATTACCATATGATATTTGATAGTCTACAGATATCTAAAAGAAGACAAAGGTATGAAAAAATATGGGTGTGTGTGTGTGTGTGTGTGTGTGAGAGAGAGAGAGAGAGAGAGAGAGAGAGAGAGATTGAGAGACAGACAGACAGACAGACAGACAGGATTACAACAAGAAAAACAAGGCACTCTCCAGTCAAGATGAAAGCCTACAAATACCTTAACGAACCTGAAGTCTTACAAACTAAGAGTGGAGACTGTCTTCTTTCTAGGCCTCTGACTTGAATGGTCTTTTACTAGCAAATTTCCTCAAATATACTGGCAGATATATTCCAGATCTCCTAGAGCTCTGAGGCCTCTTCCTTACTTTTTCATAAATAAAATTACTTTTGACAAGTCAGGATAGTGGTAACCTTGGGAAGGAATATTATCTGAAGAAGAATTAGGGGAGTAAGGAGTATTGGCAATGTTTCTTGATCTGAGAACTGGTTATGAGAATATGTTTAGTTTGCAAAAATTCAATGAGTATATACCTACAATTTCTAAGTTATGTCTTGGTATATTTCAATGAAAGTAAAAAAAATATGTCTACACAGAGTAAGAAATTTTGCTCTTCTACACTGTTATCTTTAATCTCTAACTATAGTCTCATGCTAGTGTATGGGGATGAAACTAAGGTAATGAACCCATTCCTCCAGACCTAGAGTACAGCAATTACCACTTCACTACTGAAAAATAAAACTAGTGCCAGAGAGCAAATGGTTCTCAGCTGGACAGTTTCCTCAACTCCAATAGTTGTGGATTATGTGCAGGGTTTTAAGGTTATTCCCAAAAGGTGGAAAAGGCTACCAGGACTGATTAATAATTTCTACTGTTTGCTGAGGATTCCCACCCATCTGCTACTTCAGGACTACTGTCCACCTGCAATACAACAATGCAAATCAATTGAAAAAAACTTGGTTGGATCTTATAGTAAACCATATATTTCAGATTATCTATGTCCCTTTAGACAATCTTTTTTTAAGAAAAAAAAAAGAATATTTTCATAAAACTAAAGCTTTGGCCAGGTGCCGTGGCACACACCTGTAATCGCCTTAGGAGACTGAGACAGGAGAATTATGAGTTCAAAGCGAGCCTCAGCAATGGCAAGGTACTAAGCAACTTAGTGAGACCCTGTCTCTAAATAAAATTCAAAATAGGGCTTGGGATGTGGCTCAGCGGTTGAGTGCCCCTGAGTTCAAATCCTGGTACCAAACCAAACAAAACTAACCTAAACTAAACTAAAGCTTTGACTTACATCAGAACTAATGAAAAGTTTTGATGACTTGACTGGAAACTATAATTACATGCAGAATTGAATTCCTAAACAGTCATAATTTTCTTTAAGAAAATAAAAATATAGTGTGTTTCCAATTAATATGAGTGAATTTTCCTCAAATAGGTAAATATGGATTTTAAATCAGAAGTGATTTCCCAGGTAAAATTCTGATTATAATTCTATCTGATTAAATTCTGTTATAACTTGGTCATCAAGATTATAATAACCCAATGATCTTAATATTGTTTTAACAACTACTAATTATATTAATGTTTTATCTATTAACATGCATATTTACTTACCAACAGCATTTTGCTTTCCCATTTGAGAAAGAAAATCTCTTCCTTAAAAAAGTCATAGAATACACCATATTATTATAACTCAGAAATAATCATGCTTGATAAATATAACTTGAAAATATAACTTGAAATTACCAAGGTATAAAAAATACTTTAAAATAAAATTATATAAAGGAATATCATCGCAGCTTAGAAAAAAAAATCTCTTCAATTGAAAGGACAGAAATGCCCAATTTTTTTCTCAAATATTTATCTCCTGCTATAAAATATTTAGAAAACCATCAGATTTCAACAAAATGCAAGTTACCAAGAACCTATGTTCATTTTATAATTCTTCATAGCTTGTTTATTCCTAAATACCAAGTACTATATAATAAAATTATTTTTAAAGATCTATCAGCAGGCCTCTGTATAATTCCAAAGGAAGGAGATGACATTTTTTTGTTGTTGGCTTGCTTGAGAATGTTTAGTTGGAGCTATTCTAAGAACTAATCCCTTAAAATAAGATACCTTAAATTAAAAACAGCTGTACACAATGGAGTAATCTAGTTCAGAAAGTCCCAATGACTCACATACATAATCACCTTGCACCAAGAGATGGCCAGTTCTATTCCAGGCTGGTGCAAGTCTAGCCGTGAATGAATACAAAAGGCAGTTTTGAAGAATTATAGGAATTACTCTTTGTGGAGCCTCCATCTAAAAATATCAAAGGGCAAATTGAGAGCAATTACTATTTCCTTATAAATTCATTGCAAATGTCTGCATGCTGAGATCACCACTCAGCAAACTGGGATATTCTAGAGAAAAATTATGGTCATTGCTACAGCTTGTGCTATATGGTTCTAAGTTAAAGAAACATTAAAAGATACTCACTTTGAAACCATCAGTACTGCTAGGCAACATCGCCAAATTTTCTTATTTACCCTGGCCCAGGAAACCTAAATCCTGAGAACTCCTATTGTTGAAAACCTTCAACTTTGCTTTCTGGTCCAMACAGAAAAATCCAGGCAGAATGATTTTGTGATTTTTTTTTTCATTATTATTCACTCTAATTCAAAATTAGAAATGGTTAAGCACTTACTTAGATGGGCACATATGCAACCAACAAATTATCTCTATTTATAAATCATTTTTTAAATCAGGATTTTCACTTCTGACCAACCAGATTTATCCTTGTACTTGAAATGTCTAAAAACCTAGGCAAGTTGGGCAAGGGTTGTAGTTTAGTGATATAGTGCTTGCCTGGCATGTTCAGGGTTCTGTGTTGAATCTCTATATTGCAAAACAACTGGAAGTTATATAAAATAATGATTCATAAGATACTGGACATCAGGTAACAAAGAAGAGTGATCTCCAAGCGAAGGGAAACCCAAGATAAGCCTGTGGCTTCCTCAATTTATTGATTAGAGAGGGTTTTCAGGCTGCAATTAGGGAGGGAAATTGAAGAAGAAGTTGGTAGTTTCTCTGCATTGAGGAAAGAGAGCCAAGAGCCCAGGGAGGCTAAAGAAGCTAGTTTTCTACTTTTGAGGGTGTTATACTGGAGAGGAGAGAGCTACACTGAGAGCAAACTCTAAATATCAGCAGAAAATCCCTCTTGAGGATTCATCTGGGTATAGATGAATGTGACAAAGGTGGGCAAGAACCATACTGTTCACTATATAAACATCCTTGAAAATACAGTCCAGAAGAAAAGGCTTTCCTTGCAAATATGAGAAAGACATGCATAAAAGTGAACCAAGGAGATTTTCTCCCCATAATATACATAACATCAACCACTGTGACATGATTAACATTTATAGAATACTTCACACAATGAGATCAGAATATGTATTCTTCTCAAGGGGACAAGAAATATTTACTAAAATAATTCATCTTCTGTAGCATATATAAGCCTCAACTAATTTTTTAAAATTCAAGTTATATAAAACATATTCTCTAACAACAATTAAATGAGAAATCAATAGTAGAAAGATCCCTGCGAAATCCCCAAGTATTTGGAAACTATAAAACATACTTTTAAACAATGCATAGATCAGAAAAGCTATCAGACAGGAGTTAGAAAGCATTTCTTACTGAAGAAAATCAAAACAAAACATACATGTAGGAGGAAATAGCATAACATGTCTCTAAATTTAAAAAGAAGGGTGTGAGAAGTGAAATTCTAATATTTTAGTTAAAATTTCCCTTTGAAAACCTGTTAGTTAACCCTATGGGCTTCTTATATCATAAATGTGTACATATGCAATAAGCACATTTTCAACAACAGTAACAAAAAGAAGGCTGCTTTCAAATCAATAATCTCAACTTCCACCTTGAGAAATGAGGGAAAAGCAAAATAAAAATGCAAACTAATCCCAAAGCAGAAGGAAATAACCAAGACTAAGATGAAGATCACTGAAACATAATACAGTAAATCTGGAGTAAAAAAATCCATGAGCCCATAAGTTTATTCCTTGAGAAGCAATAAGATTGCCAAATCTCTAACTAGACTAATGAGGGAGGAGGGAAGTGGGGGAGATGATAAGAATGAGAAGTGACATCACTTCAGATTCTATGGAAAAGAGAAGAAAATATTATAAGCAACTTTATGCAATAAATTTGACAACTTAGATGAAATGTTCTTTTTCCATTTCCTGGAAGTATATAACTTGAGTAGCCCTATTACTTATTCAAAAAATCAAAATCTTAGTTAAAAACCTTCTCATAAGTTAATGGACAGATAACTTTGTTGGTGAATTTTATCACACCTTTATGGAAGAAATAATAAAACTGGACACAAACTCTTCCAAAAATTTTAGATAGAGCGGGGTTTTTTCCCTGATAGATCATTTGCCCATTTATTGACTGGGTTAATTAATTTTTCCTGATGTTAAGCTTTTGAGTTCTTATATATCCTGAATATTAATCACTTATAGAAAGAGTAGCTGCCAAAGATCTTCTCCCATTCTGTAGGCTTTCTCTTTATGCTCTCATTTCCTTTCCTGTGCAGAAGCTTTTTAATTTGATGCCATCCTACTTACTCATTCTTGGATTTATTTCTTGAGCTTTAAGTGTCTTATTAAGGAAGTTGATGGCTATGCCAACATGTTGGAGTGCTGACACTATGTTTTATTCTTGCAGTTGGAGAGTTTGTGATTTAATTCCTAGGTCTTTGATCCATTTTGAGTTAAATTTTTGTGCGGGGGGGGGGGGGATCTAGTTTGATTCTTCAGTGTTCCTAGCACCATTTGACAAAAAAAAATGGCTGTCTTTTCCCCAACATGTTTTTGATACCTTTATCAAGGATCATATGACTTTATCTGTGTAGGTTTGCCTTTGTATCTTCTATTCCACTGGTATTCATGTTTGTTTTTATGCCAATACCATGCTGCTTTTATTACTATAGCTCTGTAGTATAATTCACAGTATTGTGATGCCTCCAGCCTTGTTTGTATTGCTCAGAATTGCTTTAGATATTCTAGGTCTTTTATTCTTCCATATGAATTTTAGCACTGTTTTTTCTAGTTCTGTGAAGAATGGCATTGATATTTTGATGGAGATCATATTGAATCTATAGATCACTTTTGGTAAACTGGCTATTTCAACAATATTAATTCTGTCTATCCAGGAATGTGGAGATCTTTTCATTTTCTAAGAACTTCAATTTATTTTTTTCAATATTCTATAATTTTATTGTAGAGGTCTTTCACTACTTTGGTTACAGTTTATTTTATTTTTGAGGTTATTGTGAATGGAATTGTTTTCCTCGTTTATTTCCCAGCAGTGTATAGGAAAGCTATTGATGTATAGAAAAGCTATTGATTTTTGTGTGTTGGTCTTGTATTCTGCTACTTTGCTGAATTTGTTTATCATCTCTAGAAGTCTTCTGATGGAGTGTTTTTTATGTGTGTATGTGATGCGGGGGAGGTTTCTTCTAAGTATAGAATCATCTGCAAACAGAGATTTTTTTTCTTTTCAAGTTTATATCCTTTTGATTTCCTTTTGCCTAACTGTTCTGGATAGAGTTTCAAGTACTATATTGAGTAGAAATGGTGAGAAAGAACATCCTTGTCTTGTTCCTGATGTTTTAAGGAAGAGCTTTCAGTTTTTCTCCCTTCAGTATGATGTTGGCTTTGGGTTTGTCATATATAGACTTTATAAGGTTGAAGTAAGTTTCTTTTATCCCTATTTTCTTCAGTGTTTTAAAAATGAATGGGCACTGGATTTTGTTGATGCCTTTTTCTGTATCTAACAAGAGGATCATGAGATTTTTCCCCCTTAATTCTATTTATGGAATGAATTACTTTTATTGATTTGCATATATAGAACCAACCTTGCACTGAAATAAAACCAACTTGATCCTGGTGTACAACCTTCTCAGTATGTTTCTGAATGCAGATTGCAAATATTTTATTAACAATTTTTGCATCTATGTTCATCAGGAATATTGGTCTATTCTTTTCTAAATTTGTCCTTATCTGGTTTTGGTATCAGGGTAAGATTGCCTTTATAGAATAAATTTGGGAGTGTTACTCCATTTTCTATTTCATAGAATGATATGAGAAGAACTGGTATTATTTTATCTTTCTAGGTTTGGTATAATTCAACTGAGACTCTATCTTGTCCTGGGCTTTTGTTTGTTGGAACACTTTTTTTTAAAGTTTATTTTTATATTTATTTATTTATTTATTTGGTACATGGGATTCAACCAAGGGGTGCTTAACCAGTGAGCTGCATCCCCAGACCATTTTTTTAAAAAATATTTTTATTTATTTTTTAATATATGACAGCAGAATGCATAATAATTCATATTAAACATATAAAGCACAATTTTCATATTTCTGGTTGTATACAAAGTATATTCATACCAATTTGTGTCTTTATACATATACTTTGGATAATGATGTTCATCACATTCCACCAACATTTCTAACCCCCTGCCCCCTCCCTTCCACTCTCACCCTTCTGCTAGATCTAATCTTATTGCTTGATATTGATTTATTTAGAGTTTATATATCTCAAAAGAAGAAACACAAATGGCCAACAAAAATATTTTTAAAATGTTAAACATCCTTAGCAATCAGGGAAATGCAAAGCAAAACTATACTGAAATTTCATTTCAACCCACTTAGAATGGTAATCATTAAGAATAAAAGTAACAATGTTTGCTTGTGAGGATATGAGGAAAAAGATAAACTTATATGTTGTTGATGGAATTGCAAATTAGCACAACCACTTTGGAAAGCAGTATGGAGATTCCTCAGAGACTAGGAATGGAAACATCATGTGACCTCTTATCCCACTCCTTTGTATTTATCCAAAAGAATTAAAACAAGTATACTAAAGTGAAACATGCATACCAAAGTTTACAGTAGTGGATTTCAGAATAGCCAAGTTATGGAACCAGGCTAGGTGTCATCAGACAAATGGATAAAGAAAATATGGTATACATACACAATGGAGTTTTACTCAGCCATAAAGGAGAATAAAATTATTATATCATTTTCTGTTGAATGGATGAAATTGGAGAACATCATGCTAAATGAAATAAGCCAGACTTATAAAGTCAAGGGTCAAAATTTTTTCCCATATGTGAAAGCTGGGGCATGTGGGGAATGGGGGGGGGAGAATGAATACCATGGGATATCACAAAAATAGAAAGGAGACAAACAGAGGGGAAGAAGGGGACTGAGAGAAAGTATGAGGGAGCACAAACTACCAAATTATGCTACATTCATGCATGAATTTACAACAAAGAATCTTACTTTTACATATGATTACAATGTTCTAATTTTTAAAAATAATTTTATAATAATAATAATAATAGATGATAGATCAGTAGAGGAAAGAGATCAGTGGGAAAGAGTAAGGGAAGGAAAGGGAAGATAAATCAATCGGTAGAAGATTGATCAAATTATGTATCTGGACAAATATGGCATAATGTATCTAATCACTATGTATAATTATAATGAACCAATTAAAAAAAGATTCCTGAATGCAGGGACTTTGTCTGATCTATAGTTTTATTTATAAAAGAATATTTATACTAAACACTGTCATTTTTATATTTACATTAAAATTATAAGAAAAATTAAAATTGAGAAAAATGTCACATGACATAAGTAGAGTTCTCAGCATATTATAGGTGTTCAATAAATATCTACTGATCATGTTGGCTGTTATACAAAATCAAGTACATAAAGGAAAATTGAACATAACCATGAAGAATCAGTGAGGATATGGAAATGAGAGGCTGGGGAAAAATTCATAAATAGTAAGGAATTCAGAGTTTGGAAGTCTGAAAGGGGCAAAGCAAATTTACTTAGTAGGAATGAGAACTAGTATATATGGAAAAAAGATAAGACTATTAATGAAAATATTTTAAATATTTTGTGGATGTGACAGCTTACACTGATGAAATTCAAGGTATGATTTAAAAGCCTAGAAGAAAAGACATAATAGTATATGCATTTTTAATGGCATGTGAGGACTACATGTGACATTTTTTCTCGATTTTAATTTTTCTTATAATTTTAATGTAAATATAAAATTACAATGTTTAGTATAAGCATTCTTTTATTAAATCAATACTGAAATGCTACCTATTTTATGCTCAGAAAAAAACTGTTTAAAATTTAGAGTTCATCTTAAAAGTCATATTGCACCAAGTCCTTTTGTTATTTGTCATGACCTTGTCCAAAAATAACATAATTTTGACCTTTAAAATCAATATATTAATAAGAAAATTAAATACTACAAGAACAAACCAGGAAGACAGCAAAGAGGTCTGCATTAAATCATGAAATACTTTCCACAATAAAAGGAAAATTTCTCAGGGATGGCTGAAAGACATAGGTCCTCATTTTAGGTAAACAATATATTATAAATTTGGTTCTCAAAGTTCATAAGTAGTTTTTCAAAGATGACAAGAATCTTTTGGTGAACAAAGATTTATCTTAATAAAAAGATTTAATTGTAAGATTTCTACACTGGTCCTGAGCAATACTGTTTTCCCACACACTGTGACTCATGGTTGAAATAAACTTTCAGGTTATTTAAAGATTGCTCAGGGAACTGCAAAGCACCTCCAGGTATTCTGAACCACCATCCTCTTGGAACCTAAAGGAAGCATCTCACCTTGGAGCTGACCAGAAATTTCACTGTTCTGAACCCCAGAAGATCTTGAGACAAAGAACAGCAGTGATGAGAATCATCAATGATACAGTGCTGCAGAGGTACTTGCAGAGGCATAAAGTGAGCATTAGCCAACACTCCATAACTTGGTTTACAAATATATAGATGTGATCAACTGCAAAAATTTGTTTTTCCTCATTGCTAAGACTCAGAATTTCATCACCATAGAGAATACAACCTATGTTTTGTTCTTCCACAACTAACTATATAACTGTGGATAATAATTCCACCTGTCTGGATTTCATTTTCTTCATCTGAAAAAAATGGGGAAGTTCATTTATTTAAAGATGTCTATGCTAAATGAGATTATGCCACATAAAATGCCTATGGTAAGTATTCAATAACAACAACAAAATAAGACTTGTCTTTTCTTTCTGTACCAAGTATGCACAAAAATTGTTTGGAAAAAAATTGTAGGGTTCTTTCACATGCATACCAATAGCTTATGAGAAATATACTTCAATATTTTTTGCTAGCAAAAGAAGCTGAATACACTATAATCAATATAAAAACATCTGGAATTATTATTCTTTAAAAAAACAACTTACCTTAGCTCCATATTTTTCAATATAGGCATTAAGTTTCCCAGCTTTAAAAAATGGTATCTGTAACAAAAACCCACATTATTAAAAAGGACATAAGTGATATATAATTAGATAATATAATAAATACCTAAAGATTTTAAGCATAACATAACAGAGAGCCTGGAGTCAGGGTAGCATTCTAGTAGTTTCTATACCTTGAAATAATGATAATCATTATCTCATTGATTTAGAATTTGTGGGCACATTCTCAAAGTAAGGAAAATCTCTTTGGCAGTGACATGACCCCAGAAGCCACATAAAGGGAAAGACCAATACATTTCATAGATGACTAACGCTTTCCTTATTGTATAATAGATTCTTAGACACAAATACGGAAAATGTACATAAATGGAAATTCAATTTCAAAACACTTAATTGATGTAACTTACTAATGAAAGAAATACAATTTAAAGGAAAATATTTTTTAACCTAACAGATTAGCAAATATTTAAAGATGATAATATCCTGTGTTCTTAAGGGAGAGAAAAAGACCTAGGTCTAGTTCTGTCCTTCCTTCCTTCCTCTTTCCATATATTTTATTGGTGCATTATAGTTGTAATTTGTTGTGGGATATTCATACATGCACACAACATGACAATATAATTTGGCCAATATTATTCCCCAGTATTTTCCCTTTCCCTCTCCTCCTCCATCTCCCTGGTATCTTTCCTATACTCTACTGACATCCCTTTGATTTTCATGAGATTCCCCCCAACCATTTTCTTTTCCTTTTTATTCTTTAACTTCCACATATGAGAAAAAAACATATGATCCTTGACTTTCTGATTTGGGCTTATTTCATTTAACATAATGTTCTCAAGTTCCAAGTCTTTTCCTGCAAATTACATAATCTCATTTTTCCTTATGGCTAAATAAAACTCCATTATGTATATATACCACATTTTCTTCATCCATTGATCCATTGATGAACACCTAGGTTGATTTAATAGTTTCAATGCTGTGAATTATGCTGCTATAAATATGGGTATGCATGTACTGCTATAGTTTGATGACTTAATTCCTTAGGATTAATACTAAGGAGTGGTATAGCTAAGTCATTTGAGGAAACTCCATACCAATTTTCATAGTGGTTATACTAATTTACAATTCCACCAACAGTTCAGAAGTGTTCTTTTTTTTCTCACATTCTCCCAGCATATATTATTCTTTGTATTCTTAATAGCTGCCATTCTAACTGGAGTGAGATAAAATCTCAGTGTAGTTTTGATATGTTTCTCCTTTATTACTAAAGATGTTTAACATTTTTAATATTTTTTGACCATTTCTATTTCTTCTTTTGAGAAGTGTCTGTGAAGTTCATTTACCCATTTATTGATTGGGTTGTTTGTTTGGTGCTAAGTTTTTTGAGTTCTTTATATATTCTTCATATTAATACTCCATCTAAACAGTAGCTAGCAAAAATTTTTTCCCACTCTGTAGGTTCTCTCTTCACATTCTTAATTGTTTCCGTTGCTGTACAAAAGCTTTTTGACTTCATTCCATTTATTAATTTTTGGCATTATTTTCTGAGCTATGGGATTCCTACTGAGATAGTCATTGCCTGGGCCTATAGGCTGGAGTATTGACCCCACATTTCCTTCTAGGAATTGCATATTTTCTGGTCTAATTCCTAGGTCTCTGGTCCATTTCAAGTTGCCCTTTATGCAGGGAGATAGAAAAGTCTCATTCTTCTATATATGGTAAACATATTACAGAAATCTCACATGGTAATCAGTTTTGCCAGCACCATTTGTTAAAAGGGATATCTTTTCTCCAATGTATGTTTTTGGCATCTTTGTCAAGGTAACCCACTTTATTTAGGTGGGTTTGGTTTTGCATCTTCTATTCTGAAGCATTGGTCTATGTTGTTTGTTTTTATACAAGTACCGTGTAGTTTCTGTAGTAACTATAACTCTGTAGTGTAATTTGAAATCAAGTATTTTTTTTTATCTTAGAATTGTTTTGACTATTCGGGGTCCTTTATTCTTTCCCAGTGAATTATACAACTTTTTTTTTCCCTAGTTCTTTGAAGAAGGATGTTGGTATTTTGTTAGGGATTACATTGAATCTGTATACTGGTTTTGTTAGTGTGGCCATTTTAACAATATTAATTGTGCCTATCTGAGAACACGGAAGATCTTTCCATACTCTTGTGTCTTCTTCAACTTCTTTTTTCATTTTTTTATAGTTTTCATCGGAGAGGTCTTTAGCTCTTTGGTTAGATTTATTCCCAGTTTTTTTGTTTGTTTTGTTTTTGAGGCTATTTTGAATGATCAGAATTGCTTTAAATCTGTATAGTGCTTTTGGTAGTATGGTCATTTGGATAATATTAGTTCTGCCTATCCAAGAGCAAGGTAATCTTTCCATCTTCTAAGGTTTTCTTTGATTTCTTTCTTTAGGGTTCTGTAGTTTTCATTGTATTGATCTTTCACCTCTTTCATTAAGTTGATTCCCAAGTATCTTTTTTTTTTTGTGGTTATTGTAAATGGGTAGTTTTTTTCATCTCCTTCTCAGAGGCTTTTTATTGTTGTTTTAATCTTCTGAAAGGCTTTTTATTGTTGTTTTAATCTTCTTATTCCTTGTTGCTGGTGTGTTTAGGTTTCCCATATCCAACTTATTGCAAAAACAAGTTTTCAAAATATTCTGTAACAATCCTCTGAATTTCAGAAATGTCTTTGTATCTCCTTTTTCTTCTCTAATTTTGACTTAGGTCTTTTCATGACACTTCCAGATTTGCACAAACTCTGTGCTGTCCAGATAATATTGAGTAACAGGATGGCAGATACTGAGATTAGGAGTACACAATGAAGATGTGCAGGTAAAAAATACATCATCTAGGTCAAATGGTGGTTCCATTCCCAGCTTTCCAAGGAATCTCCATACTGTTTTCCATATTGGTTGCACCAATTTGCAGTTCCACCAGCATTGTATGAGTGTACCTTTTCCCCCACATCCTTGCAACTACTTATTGTTGTTTGGGCTCTTAATAGCTGCTATTCTGACTGGAGTGAGATGAAATCTTAGAGTAGTTTTGATTTGCATTTCTCTAACTGCTAGAGATGTTGAACATTTTTTCATATATCTATTGATTGTGTATCATCTTCTGAGAGGTGTCTGTTTAGTTCCTTGGCCCATTTATTGATTGAAAAACAGATGGAAACTGAAAGCATCATTAAGCAAAATAAATGGGACTCAGAAAGTCATGGTCATGTTTTCTCTCATACATGAAAGGCAGAGATCAAAAGTGAAAAAAAAATAGGGAAAGAATCTCATGAAAATAGAAGGGATACCAGTAAAGAAGAGGAACAGGTACAGAGGTAGGGAGGAGGGATGAAAGGGTGGTATTGGGGAATGAAATTGATCAAATTATGTTATATACATGTATAAATATGTCAAAATGAATCCCAATATTATGTATAACTATAATGCTCCAATAAAAAATGAACTGATACAAAATATTTAATTTCTAAATTGAAAGCAATATTGATCTGAGTTCTTTATATATAGTTGATTTATTGAAATGAAGACTTCTTCCTTTATATTAGGCATAACTAGTAAAATATGATGAAAGGTATTAAGCCTTTACTATCTTAAAATTTGTACTATGCATTTGTTTTATTTGTTAATAGTCTTTATTTTAGCATTTATGACAGAGAAAACTAAATAGTAAGTTAGAATCACAAAAATGGACTTTAAACATCAGGTATATCAAAGTTAGTCTGTTGCTGGTGTGAGCAAACTACAACATAGAGTGCTTAATCTTCAAATTCAGCTATGACACTTAAGTAATTGTCAATTTTACTCCCACTAATTAGTAATACCAACCGCCATCACCACCCAAATTTGGTTTAGTATCCCAGGCACAGGTGATGTAAGAATATCTTCATGCAAAAACAGCAATTGCCTGTGGATAAGAAATGTATTAATTTCACAGTGAATTTGATCACAGTTTACAAAGTAGGCTTTCTTACTACTTTTACTTTATTGGAATATATAGGAAATCTACTTAGTTAATATTTGATTTCTTCTAGGAAAGGAAGGTATTAAGATTTCTATATCACTCCCCACAAGTAATACCTTGAACCCTTAAACATTGTAGGGACTCAGCCAATATGTGAATTAGAGAATTATGAAGTTTTATATGCTGATATTAATCTGAGAAGTTTTTCCTAAATCCGAATTTCCCAATCTCTTTCATTTGTGAATCTAATTTCCTTTTTCAAAATTCCATTTTTGTCCCATGTCAACTTGAAAATGTCTAAACATTGTGAAGAATCTCTCTTTTAACTCCTGTTTCTTCTACTTTCCTTTTTTGTGGGGCTGGGGATGGCCGGAAGCAATGGTGAGTACAGGGCACTAAATTCATTAATAAAAGTCTTTAAGGATTCACCTATCAGTGAAGTTAGCAGTTACTTCCAAATTACAACTATTAACAATATTATTTTCCTTCAAAAGTGAAATTCTTCCCAAGCCGGAAAGAAGTAGATAGTGGATTCAGTTTAGTTTTCAACAGGGAAAAAAAATTGGCCTTACAACAAAAATCATCATAATTCAAATTATTATCAGTAATCCTGTTTCAATGGCCAAAAAAAGAAAACAGGAAAAGGAATACAGATGGAAATTTGAAAATTTCAACATTACTAATCATTACAAAAATACTAATTTAGATAACCATGAGTATGTGTATGAGGTTATCTCAAAATACAAAATGGGCCAACCTATTTCTGTTGGCTTCATATTTGTTGGAACCCACATGAAACGGGTACAAGGCCTGCCATTATCTAATATAGCCAGGTCTCTGCTTGCTGTTCCAGGTTGACATTAGTGGGTGGGCAAGTTAAGACAGCCCCAATCTATGGGCATTGCTGTCTGCAATTCAAGGGCAAACAGCATAAAATCTCACTTTTCCACCTATTTCCCAAAGGGGTCACAATTAAGTCCTCAATAGTATCATAAAATTACACATAAGTAGAAAGTTATAGGCTCCTTGATGAACTTGGGTGGGAAAACATAATGGGGAGCAAAGTCTTGTAAATGAGAGGAAAATGGAGGAATACCTCACTTCTTGCCCCTGGAAATCTGCATATAAAGAAAATTTGTTTAAAGGGAATTAATTTAAAGATAAAATCTTCTCATGTATTCTATGAATCCTTTAAGTACCTCAAATCATTTAAGGAATTAATACAAGATGGGTCCTCAATTACTATGGATCATACTTTAGGCTTCAACTGAGCTGTTTTCAAAGACTATCCTGGGTCAAATATTCAAGAAAACTCTTGAAGAAATACTCTTCAGTATCTTTTATTGACTTGAAAATTAAGAAATTATTCTTGTTCTGTTTATAGTACCTTTAAGTGCCCTGTAAAGACTACTATAAATGTTTACTATGTATAATAGTTATACATTATATATGTCATATGATTTGCAAAAAGTATTTAAACATGTAACTATAAAAGGATGAATATTAATATGTACTAGTATCTCTAACTTTTGAGGAATATAATTTAATTCAAGAATGTGTGTACAGATTTTAAATTTTAAAAAAAGCACATAAGAGGTCACAAATATAAAAACTTAACAGTACGTTACATCTGAAGTATTTTGAATCCCTCCTTAAATGTAATCCCACATACCCTGTCAAAACGAATTCCTTTATTTTAAAATTATATATACAGATTAAATGAATATTTTGCTTTAAAGGACGAAACTTCTACAATGACTCCTATGTGATTAAAAAGTTTTAAAAACTTTTTCAAATGATGTATTTTTAAATTTTTTATTCTAATTTGTTATATATATATGAATGCATTATAATTCATATTACACATATAGAGTACAATTTTTCATATCTCTAGTTCTATATAAAGTATATTCATACAGTTTGTGTCTTCATACATGTTCTTAGGGTAATGATATCTATCTCATTCCACCATCATTTTTACCCCCATGGCCCCTCTTTTTCCCTCCCACCCCTTTGCCCTATCTAGAGTTTGTCTAATCCTCCCATGATCCCCCTCCCAATCCCACTATGAATCAGCCTCCTTATATCAGAGAAAACATTTGGCAAAAGGCGCCAAAAACATAACACTGGAGAAAAGTCAGCCTCTTTAACAAATGATGCTAGGACTGGAAATCCATATGCAACAAAATGAAATTAAACCCCTCTCTCTCTTGCCTTGCACAAAACTCAACTCAAAATGGATCAAAGACCTAGGAATTAAACCAGAGACACTGCGCATATTAGAAGAAAAAGTAGGGCCCAGCTTCCTTGATAAGACTCCTATAGCACAAGAATTAAAATAAAAAAATCAATAAATGGGATGAATTCAAACTAAAAAGCTTCTTCTCGGCTAAAGAAATAATCAGTGAGGTAAAAAGAGAGCCTACATCTTGGGAGCAAATTTTTACCCCTCACACATCAGACAGAGCACGACTCTAAGGTATATAAAGAACTCAAAAAACTAAACACCCAAAAAACAAATAGCTCAATCTATAAATGGGTCAAGGAACTGAACAGACACCTCTCAGAAGATGATACACAATCAATAGATATATGAAAAAATGTTCAACATCTCTAGCAGTTAGAGAAATGCAAATCAAAACTACTCTAAGATTTCATCTCACTCCAGTCAGAATAGCAGCTATTAAGAGCCCAAATAACAATAAGTAGTTGCAAGGATGTGGGGGAAAAGGTACACTCATACAATGCTGGTGGAACTGCAAATTGGTGCAGCCTATATGGAAAACAGTATGGAGATTCCTTGGAAAGCTGGGAATGGAACCACCATTTGACCTAGATGATGTATTTTTTACCTGCACATCTTCATTTGTGTACTCCTAATCTCAGTATCTGCCATCCTGTTACTCAATATTATCTGGACAGCACAGAGTTTGTGCAAATCTGGAAGTGTCATGAAGAACAGTGACTGCTGCCTAGATTCATTCATATCTTCTTGTTGACTATGTGTCTCAGCAATCAGACCCTTAAAGAAAACAGTAATAAAAAGGTAGTAAGTTGGTGAAGTAAATAACTTCACCAACAGGGTTTCAATACCAACTCATCATGTAGCTGATGTCATGTTAGAAAAAGATAACAAAATTAGCAAACTTAATCAGTTATATATTACCAACATTTTACTTTTAAGGTTTTCTAGTGATTTTTCTAAAATTTTTTGCTACATGTTAAGATATAATTCCCACAACATAAATTCACCTACTTAAAGTGCCCCAATTCCTTTTTGTTTACTATCTTCAGAGTTGTCCAACTACCAATGCAATACATTTTGAACATTTTCATCACATCTCAAGCTAACCCAGAGTTTTTAAAACCTGTTAGTTTCGTACCACAAACTCAGTAACTTAAGTAGAAATACTACAAACACCAGGTTATTTAGGTTCTTGCAATGCTTCTACCATATTATTTAATAAATTCCTTCTACAAGTCCAGGCTAATCTTAACTTTCATTTCAAATTTGTTTGGTTTTCAGGAAACAAAATCGTTTATCTCTGTAAAGCAATTCGAGGCTGAGGAGTCTGAGGAATATATTATTCTTCACTTTGTGATGAAAGGAAAGGTCTGAAATCTCTGTTGGGGCTGCTGTCCTAATTCACACCTTGGCAGTGCAGGCGGAGTGCGGAGAAAGGGAGTGTGAGTGCTGTCCACCCGACTTTCCCAGGTGGCAGAAGGCAGCTTGGACCCCAGCACTTCCCACTTAGCATCACAGGACTGTCCCTGTTTAAGGACAGTAAACACACTGGCCCAGAAACCTAAGTGTGGCTGCTTGGTCCCATCAGGTAAGTCCCCTAGGTGGTCCTGGGGACTTCGGCAGCTGAAACCCGGCTCCTGCTCCCCTGAGGCAGGGGAACTGGGGAGGCCCCAAGAGCTTCTTCCAGCCTGATTTGTTTTAAGGGACCCCGCAATTCCAAGGAAAGCCCCCTGCACCCGGGCTTAGGGAGGGAGCCTGTCCTCCGCCCCCTGCAGGGCAGTGAAGCTGGTGGGCTGTCCCGGGGGCCAACCAGCCCAGGCCCCATGCAGCAGGGTACATGGCTGCCTCGCCCTGCCCTGCCTCCCTGGAAACAGGACAGCACACCTTAGCGCCTTCCTCCTCAGCACCCTACTGGTCACCCTCAGGGGCCTCTCCTGTGGGGTGTGTTCTCCCAGCAGGCCCCAGGCTCTCACCAGATTCCCCCCTCCTCTCCGCTCCCAGCAGGCCCTGTGCTCCTGTCATTTGTGTTCTCCCAGCAGGCCCCGCGCCCTCACCAGATTCCCCCCTCTTCTCCAGCTCCCAGCAGGCCCTGTGCTCCTGTCAGGTGTGTTCTCCCAGCAGGCCCCGCGCCCTCACCAGATTCCCCCCTCCTCTC